TGGAGCACATTATATTTTGCTAGTATACTCTCTATTATTCAACTAATTGGTGGAACTTCACCAAACTTTTTCCGATTTGTATATAACTTTGATTTCTCAGTTCCAATTTTTAGATACGGATAGGATAACGGTAAGAAAATTTTCTTAATTCAAGACCCAGAGTTCGAAAAAAGATTACCATACACATCTCTACAAGATACATTTTCGTAGCATTGGACATAGTTCTTACATATATGCTACATTGATATTGTTCGGCAACAATGGATGAAAGTCCATGAGACTTTCGCTAAATAGTTGACGAAAGTCTTATTAGCGAAGAGTGAAATTTTCATCATAGCTTGCTAAGGTGATCTTCTACCAATGATTTTGTTCGAAGATTGTTATAGGAATTTGTTCAGTTAAGTATAATGATCGAATCGGATCTACGAACTCTGTATTCATAATTTGGTTATTTAGATTGTGTTAACAAATCTGTGAATAAAACTTGAATTAAGAATATTTTCAAGAAATCATATAGATTAGTAGCATAACCAGACGAGAGCTAGAGGAGGCTCCGCCTGCTTCACCCATACCAACAGTTGACTTCTACGTAAAACAAAGATTTTGGGCTCACTCTAAAGATATGCTGAGATAGTTGAATCGCTCATACAATTTTTTGTTTTGGTTACGTCATTAACATAGATAAAGACAAGAATATTAGTTTATATGATAAAGTAATTTCATCAATGTTTATTCATATTAATATGCCAATGGAAACTTGAGAAATTCGTTGACATTTTGACATATTAATTAGAATTGATTTATATAATTTAGGGTTTCGCGTCGCAAATCGGATAGATAAATTCATTCATATTCGTATTAATTAAGATAGCCACTTCCTATACTTGATTCTGTATGTATGTTGAACAAATACATTGAATCAGTAAATCATTCAAATTATTCTACATAGCAGAGAATTTGTTAGATTTACTGATTTAATTTTATGCAAGACTCTAATCTGTTTATACAATTTTATCATATTTTCATAGTTTTTGTCGTATGTACATTTATCAGTGAAATACCAACATTACTCTTGTATTCATACATCATTTACATTTTATAGGCATTATTAAATATGTGTAAGAATCCAGGTGTTTTATGTTTCACATGTAAAAGTTATATGTTCTTTTCTTTTTTTTTATACAAAAATTACTGTGTCTATTCGTTTTACGGTTGATTTATAGCCGAGAGACCTTGTTAATATATCGTGTAATATATTTTGAATAACTAAATCATACTTTTCTAAATTATTTCGATAACTTGTTTATAGAGCAATTAAATAAATAGTAAATTAAGCAGAATAAAAGTTCAACTGTTTTATTTGAAACTTTCTCTATTTTGATTTCTAGAAAATTTTTAGTTATTCAACTATTTAATATTATGATATTTTCTAAGATTAGTTTATAGTTTAATATTTTTTAATTTTTTATAATATACATATCTCATGGATTAAATATAGACTGACATTTTGTTAATTGCCATCTAAAATAAGAGAAAAACATTTCATTGTATTTGATATTTATTTTTTATTATGAAAAAATAACGAAATCAATTTTTATTCCAAGAAAATTATTCTTGTATTTTTTTTTTCGGATCAAATATCATAATTGAAATAAAATCGTTTTATGATTTCTTTGTCTTTGTTTTATCTTTTTCTTCTTATTGACATAAAAATAACAAATGTCTGATTTAATCTACTTCATATAATCCTACTTTTTATTCTTTTTCTTTATATTATTTCAATAAAAATACACAGAGAAAAACAAAAGAGTTTGGATACTTGTATGTGACATCCATTTATATGGTAAAACAAATTAAAAATGTATTAGATTGTATATATATAATATGGATCATAGACTATAAACTTTGACTGATCTATACTTTATGAATTCATTAACAATTATGTCAGTTTCTGTGACAACTATTTTGAATATTATATTTATCTATTCTAGATAATTTAATTTTTCCGTTCTATCTGTGAGTTCGTGATAACGATTGTGAATTATTTTACAAAGTAATTTTTATTTTATTAATAATAAAAGAAAGTAAAAATAATTATCGAATTTTATTCAAATTAATTAATTACATCAATATTGAACAATCATAAAATTTTTTAAGAATAAAAATAATTAAATTAAACAAAAAAAAGAAAAAAACAAAAATATATACATATGATGACAACATTTCTTAATTCCGATGCTGCATGTCGTGTAACATATCAAGAAATAATAAAAATTTTACAAACAGATGCTAAATTAGGTTTAAATGAAAATGAAATTTTAAAACGACGAAAATATTATGGTCATAATGATTTTGAAATAGATGATGAAGAACCATTATGGAAAAAATATTGCGGACAATTTAAAGAACCAATGATATTACTTTTACTTGCATCAGCATTTATATCATTATTAATGAGACAATTTGATGATGCTGTATCAATAACAGTAGCTATTATTATTGTTGTTACGGTTGCATTTATACAAGAAAATCGAGCTGAAAAAGAAATTGAAGCATTAAAAAGACTTGTACCACCAAAATGTGTTTGTATAAGAGAAGGAAGAAGTCAACATATATATGCAAGAGATTTAGTACCAGGTGATTTATGTATTTTGGATATTGGTGATCGTATACCAGCTGATTTACGTTTAACTGAAGCAAATGATATATCTATTGATGAATCATCATTTACAGGTGAAATAAAACCATCGATGAAAACTATTGAATCGATTTCATTTGGTTCAAGACAAACATCAATTAGTGATAGACGAAATATTGCTTTTATGGGTACACATGTACTTAATGGAAATGCAAAAGTAAACATAATTGAATATGATATATTGAATTTAAATTTATTTTCTTTTTGTTTTTCTTTTTTTGAAAGGGTGTTGTGATATCTACAGGTGAAAATTCAGAATTTGGAAAAGTATTTCAAATGATGCAACAGCAAGAAGTAAAAAAAAAAAAAAGAAAAGACAACAATAATAATAGAAAAAAAAAAGCATGTTTTCTATAAAATTTTCTGTTATTTATTATAGGCACCAAAAACACCATTACAAAAGAGTATGGATGCATTAGGAAAACAACTTTCATTTTATTCATTAAGTATTATTGGTTTTATTGTTATTGTTGGATGGTTACAAGGTAGACATCTTCTTGAAATGTTTACCATCGGTGTTAGGTATGTATATATATATATATGAATCATCTCAAACAAAATCAGACATACTTCACATCAGTGGCGGATCCAAAAAATCAATGAGGGGATGGCGGTTTGCTGAAGGGGGTGACGGTCATGGTCAAAAACCAGTTTTTGAAGCCTATTCAAGGCAACACCAGTGTTTTTGTTTTTATTTCTGCTGATGAAAAATGGAAAAAATTTCGCGAGGGGGTGGCGGTCGCCGAATCGCCGTACGGTAGATCCGCCACTGCTTCACATATCGGTTTTGACTTTAACTCTTTACAAGAATTATTTTTTTTTGTAGTATAGACATATGTAAAAATATTGACTCTTTCAGTTGATTATTCATTAAAACTAATTATAGTGGTCATAAGAAATTCTGCTACCGAGTAAAAAGTACATAAACTTCAATCGTTTTGCCTGATATTTTGAGTAAAGATCGAGCTTGTTGAATCCTGATTGAATGTAATTACTCGAGATCGATAGACATCAATACAAAAGATTTACAATGAATGCATTGGATTTTTTCTTGGAATCGAAAAATAACTTTTTTTTTAATACCTTTCTAATTTTTCACTATTTCAATGTATTAATCCCAAGGGGGAAAAATGAGACTTGAAGAGTGCGTACTTCAGATTTTTTTGAAGCAGATGAACTTTTTTCATTAGTCTAATATCATGAGGTTTGTTTTCTATGTTAAGATATTCTCGTTTATGTTGACCTTTGGTATGACAGCTGATTAAGTTTTGATTGTACCGTGCAATCAGAGTTCAGTATGCTCTATTTGTGATCTAAAGAAATAAAGTTTAGATACTTTTTACCTGATAACGAGACTTTTTGTGATTACCGTAATTAATTATTTAAAAAAACAATTACCAAATATCTCTTTAATCATGTGAGAA